TTCTGGAATGTCTGTTTAATAAGGGGGATTTTAGGGAACTGAAGTTGTTGCGTACACTCTGCCATGACAACGTTATCGACATGATCGATGTTTTTACTCCCGACCCCGAAGTATCATTGCTCAACGACGTGTAAGAAAAGAAATACAATGCTAAAAGGTACCATTTAGCTACTTCGTGTCGATTCTCATCGGTGCCGACTTGCAGAACATCACGAAGATCCAGAGACTGGGAGATGATCAGGCCCAGTTATTAATCTACCAGATACTACGCGGCCTGAAGGTGCTCTTATACCTTCCGGCGTGCCATTGATCCTTTAGTACATCCACTCTGCCGGTATTATCCATCGCGACCTAAAGCCGAGTAATATTGCCGTCAACGAGAGATGTGAGGTTAAGGTGCGTTTCTTAAAAATAGCGCTTAACGTTGGGGAGCAATTATATTGTTCCAGATTCTGGATTTTGGACTGGCTCGACCGGCTGATATCGAAATGACAGGCTACGTGGCCACACGTTGGTACCGTGCCCCTGAAATTATGCTAAACTGGATGCATTACTCGCAAACTGGTGTGTTTTATGCAAGAATCGTTGTACGATCACTTTTAGTTGACGTTTGGTCTGTTGGTTGTATCATGGCGGAACTGATCTCCGCGCGGCCAATATTCCCTGGCGATGATCGTGAGTTAATTTCTGTTCAAAGCGGCAGAAATCTGTTGTCTCCAATGCCCCTTTTCAGACATTGATCAACTGACTCGCATCATGGGTGTCGTCGGCACACCAAATGAAGAATTTTTGAGCAAGATCCAATCAGAAGAGGCGCGGAATTACATAAAGTAAGCCGAAGCTAATTGTCGTGATGCGTATGACGTTGCAGGAACTTGCCACGCATGCCTCGCCAATCCTTCAGCGTTTTGTTCCCGAATGCAAGCCCAGATGCTGTAAATCTGCTGGAACGCATGCTGGTCCTTGATCCGGACCGGCGGTAGGTTGTTGATCATTCACAAAATTCGATGTCTATGTCTATGGATATAAACGTGAGATGAAAGCTATTTTAGCATTACCGTGGATGAGGCTCTACGTCATGAATACGTTAAAGAGTGGTGGGCCCCTGAGGACGAGCCGGTGGCCGAACAGCCCGTATCCACTGATGCCGAGGAGGAACAGGCTCAGACTCTCGACGATTGGCGAGGTAGTTATCCAGCGTGGCAACTTCCACTGGTATCAAAAAAATTTTGATGCAAACGCCGCAGAACCAATTTTCCCCACCATGAGGATAATTTTCCACGTGTTCAGAGCTAATTTGGCGCGAGATGGGCATCTTCCACCGTTCTCCACGGCACATCAGCTGCTCCGCCAGCATCCAGGATCTAGAGAACAAACTACGCCCGCTACCCGTAATCCACGATTGAGCTGGGCGCGTCGTGGATGAGCAGCATTTTGCACAAATCTTGCTAGCAAACCCCGTATTATTGCGTGAAAGGGCACCGCTTTGGTGTAGCCATTTTTGAGAGCGTTGATGACGCCCTATGCAATCCACGTTTCGGCGCGCTTTTTGCCAAAAAGTGGAAAGAGCATTGCCTTTCCCGTCGGTGCGTCTCCTCTCCTTTCCAGCGATACAACCTGTGCCGCTTGTTTGGTTCAATTCCTCTCCTTTCTGCCCTTCCCCCCCCCCCCAATTTCTCAGCTTATTTGTGTTGTCACTAGTCGAGCCATGTCGCAAACAGCCATTCATTTGATCTCCACCCTCACCGCCCATCGTTTCGGTCGCTTTAAAATGAAGCCCTGATCTCGTCCATTTATCCTTGATCTCGCTTTCTCCTTGTTTGATATACCGACTTACATCCTTTACTTTCGCGTTTTTTTTTGAAAATCCTATCGACATCATGTGATTTGCGCAAGTTTCACCCACCTAGTCCACAGAAATAAATCTATTCTAAGCACATGGTTCTGAATTTGAAGTACCAAGGTACTGCTGACCGATATTTGGGTGAACAACAAGCTAACAGCCTAACCGCTATTGATTTTTTGGCTTGAGTGCACACGGCGTCTTAGGCCTTACTTGGCGCGCGCACGAGGGGACGGGAGGGACTGGGCTAGGCCACGCCCCCTTTTGGTCCCCAAAATGTATGGGAAAAAGCTTTCTAAAGGCTATAACTTTTTTTCGAGAAAGAATTACAAATGTTCCACCTGACGATCGATAGAGAAAACTCTAGGGAACATTTTGGTCAAAGAATTTGGGCGATCGCCGGGAAAAATAAGGACTTGAAACGTTTTGAAGCAAAAATCAAGAGTTTTTCTGGTTACGGCCTCGGGACCGTCCCATCTGCCCAATTTTCTACGTGGAATTCGCTAGAGATTTATTGACGGTGCTTTGCAGAAACGTTTTGCAAAAAAAGCAAAACGGTGTCGCGTCTTTAGGCGAGGGGAGGAATCGAACCAGCACCCCGCGCCTGCCGCCGCCTTAGACCACTAGGCCATGCCCGTCCACACCCCCGTGCGCGCTCTAAGACACCGTGTGCAGTTTACCCCCCCCAGCCCGAACTTTTCAGCCATACGTCCTATTAATGCGCCGAGTATCTCAAAATGTTCGCCGTGGTCGAATTACTATAAAAAAGTTGTTTTCTTAAATCAAAAATTGTTAGAAAAATTTTTATAACAATTATAAGTCTGGGTTTTCTTTAGTTAATTTTTGCTGTTCCAAAGTGAGTTTTCGTATCTCGGTTATCTTTTGACGTACAGAGCTGTCAATGGTACCAAAATGTAGCTCTTGCTCTGGAGAATAAGCTTACAGTACGTTTGAGCCGAAAAAATAGCGGAAAATAAAAATATTTGAGTTTTAGACTCCTAGTACATCGAAGCATAGCGGCTTAATCTTTTCAACTTTCAAAATCTTGTAAAAAATTTTTTAGCAATTTTCGCCGCAAGAAAACAATTTTTTATAGTAATTCGACCACGGCGAACATTTAGAGATACTCGGCGCATTAATAGGACGTATGGCTGAAAAGTTAGGGCTGGGGGGGGTAAACTGCACTCTAACCGATTTTTTTTGCGGGGACGTGTTTTTCGCCCAAAACAAAGCGAATTCCAGGATGCAGTCGAACGTCAAGGATGGGTATTATGCCGTCGAATTGAATCGCACGGTACGCTATATCCTGCAGAAATATAACGATTTTTTTAGGTTTGGGTTATCCCGAACCAGTACCAAAATCTGACACCAATTGGGACAGGCGCCTACGGGACCGTATGGTATGAAATCAACTTAGAAAACTAGGAAAATTTTATTTAGTTCGGCGGATTGTACAAAGACAAGTCAACGGGTGGCTATTAAGAAGTTTTCTCGGCCTTTTCAATCGCCGATTCATGCCAAACGGACACACCGGTTTGTAACATTTGCGTAGAAGCCTAGAATTTTGGGTTCTGGACTGTTAGCGGGGGCAACCACTTTTTCCGCCTAATTTACCGGCTCTGATTTATTATGCATTTTTTATGCTCTTTTAGTAGTTTTTGATTGCTAGAAAACTACAAAAATATTGTGAAAATTTTGACCTTTCTTGCTCAGTTTTCATAAATTTTTGACCAAAACGTCAAACATTTTCGCAAATTTTTTTCTTATTCGTATATCTAAAAACCATGTAATTGTTATAAAGGTAATTTATATTTTCTTATGGGGCCCTAGAGAAACACAGGGGCGAAGAGCCCACCCCCCCCCCACTAACAGTCCAGAACCGAATTTTGTGTGAAACCAAAATATTGATGATGCTTTGAAAATTATTCGACGCTAATCGAGATACTTCAGTGAAATCCGACTTCTCCGCTGTATGAATCATGAAAATGTCATCGATCTACTGGACGTATTCACCCCCGATAAAACGATGGACTCCCTCACCGACGTGTTTGTTTCTACAAACCACCAAAAACCGATACGATTTCAGCTATTTCGTATCAATCTTGATGGGCGCCGATCTGTCAAACATTCTGAAGATACAGCGGCTCAACGACGAGCATATCCGCTTCTTGATATATCAAATTTTGCGCGGGTTAAAGGTGAGAATGGACCGGCTATCTGACCCAAAGTGTTGCACTTCAGTACATCCATTCGGCGGGCGTGATTCACAGAGATCTGAAGCCAAGTAATATTGCCGTCAACGAGGATTGTGAGTTGAAGGTCAGGCACGGCGCTCTCTATTTATCTGAACTACCTTGCAGATCCTGGATTTTGGCTTGGCACGACAGACAGACTCCGAAATGACGGGCTACGTTGCTACACGATGGTATCGCGCGCCGGAGATTATGCTCAATTGGATGCACTATTCTCAGACGGGTACATTTTCTTATAGACTCAGAAAACGGTTTTTCCCTTAAACTTATTGGACAAGAGCTGTTGATATTAGTCTAAAATAGGTCCTAAATAAGTTTTACAGTGGATATCTGGTCGGTCGGATGTATCCTGGCAGAGCTCATCACCGGGCGTACCATCTTTCCAGGAGCCGACCGTAAGTCTAAAAACATGCTGAAAATCCGGCCTAAATCCCTTATTACTTAATTACTCAAATGAAGGCGAATGCCGTTGCAGATATCGACCAGCTGACACGCATCATGAGCATTGTAGGCACGCCTAGTGAAGAGTTCTTGGCCAAAATCCAGTCGGAAGAGGCACGCAACTATATAAGGTAACTAGGGCAAACATTTTAATGAACCGCCCACACCTAGGAATCTGCCGAGGATGCCACGCAAGGACTTCAAACAGATATTCCCCTCAGCCACCCCTGATGCCATCAGCCTTCTTGAAGCCATGCTTAATCTGGATCCAGATCGACGACCTACCGCTTCAGAGGTGCGCTCTTGACAGGCATTAGTATAGACGTTAACCGCTTTCCGTAGAAGCAGATGCTCGCCACAAGTGCAGAAAATCTCCATATATAACTTACTTACTACTACTTACTTATATAACTTGCTCTCATTTCAGGCTATGGAACACCCGTACCTCTCGCAATATCACGATCCAAATGACGAACCGACCAGCGAGGTTAGTCCGGCCCGGAATCCTTAAACTCCCACAAATTACAGGTGCTACAGCTCGATGACGACGCCGAATTCGCGATCGAGCAGTGGCGTCAACTTATCTGGAAAGAAATTGCGGAATATCGAGCCGTAGCGGCTGGTGAAGACCAAATGCAATACTAGGCAGTGTTTTGGGACCAACCCTAAGCACGTTTTTGTCACGTTTGCCAAATATGCATCTCGGAACATGTACCCTTCACTTTGCTGTCAGAGACCCAGTCATAGTATTGTATGTATTTTGTCTTACACGGAAAGGTCAACTTGATGAACCTTCTTGACCAAGCCAAAATCTAGGCATTCATTTCAATACGCTGATTTATATCTGGAAACGACCTACATAGTCATGATGCAGCTGATCCCATCGATTCGTGTATTATCGTTATGTGTTTGGATATTCAAAGACTCGTTGTTCACCATGTTCAAGCCAATCTCAACCAGCTATATCGAAAACGTTAACATTCCTCGTGACCTTACAAACTTGTAACCCTCCCCTCCCAGCGCTAGGTATGTAAATTCAAGTCGGTGCTACGTTACAACCTTCGCTAAACAAATGTATGTAAATTATCCCCTATGCCCTTAGTGACCAATAATTGGAGCGTGTAGTGCATCTGGAGACGTACTTTTGCTAAATATATTCGATAATACCGCACATTGCGCCCCGATTTACTGCAGCTCTAGATGGTGCGTGTGGCCGGAGGAGGGCAAAGGGAGCGATAAGAGAGCAGTGACATGACCACAAAACACAATCAATTTTGCATCCGGGGCGCACGCTAAAAAGGAGGAGGAAACCATTCTGTGAGAAGGCGAGCCGCGGGATGGCCTTGTCCACGCTAGTCAACCACTACCAAGCTCTCGACCCGTCCACCCGCAATGTTTTGGCTGTTTCGGCAGGGGTGACTACCGCCTACGTATTTTTCGGATGCCTGCGCGACTTCTTGGTATGCATGCAGAAATTTTTGCTAATGACAATGGTGGTTCGCGTCGAGTAGGAGGCACAAATATTATAAATTTCGATAGAATTCAGCTTTTTGTTCAAAAAAGATGATGACAAACCAACTACGTCTTTCCATCAATCAACCAACTAAAACGCCCAGAAACAACCTATTTTGCAGCACAAACGACGCCTTCATGCAATTGTGGCCCGGAGGCAGGCTGAACGCAGTGAAAGCCTGAAGAATGCCGAAGCTTCTTCCCACAAAACGACGGAAGCCCGTCGAAATGAGATCGGCCACATGGACTACAATACATTGTCAGGTAGGCAAGACCATAGGCCACAAGCAAAGTGAAACTCAGCGGCATTGAAATCCGGCAGCGTCTCGCCGACCGAGGCTCTTCATACCTACCAGTGGAAAGCGCTCGAAGCGCACCGCAACACCAACTGTATCACGCTGTTCATTAAGGTCTGACGGATGAGGAATGGTGCAAGGGTTCTGTTCTATTTCGAGCGGGGGAAAACTGTGCGGGGGAGACTTGATTGGGCAGGATTACGAGATTTTCGCTATTTTCTCGGGATTTTTGCAACGCCATTCGATAAAGCATTGTGAAGTATACTAAGAGTTTTTGTTTGAGCTCTAATAAAACAGTACCGGTTTAAGTATTCCTAGGAAGCAAATGAATGGGCCGCTGAACTAGAACAGAATCCACCCGAGCCACGACCTCCACTTTATGGAATGCCAATTTCGGTGAAGGAATGCGTGCCGGTAAGATAGCCCACCTTGATTAAAATTCCCGTTAATGCCAGGTGAAGGGCTACGACGGGACCCGCGGATATGTGAATGAATGCTATATGCCGAACGATCGAGACTCTGTTATGGTGGAACATATTCGGGCCCTCGGTTAAAAAGACTTACAATTCTCAACCGTTTTTTCCTCGTTCAGGCGGAATCCCATATGTCCAAACGAACGTACCGCAATCCCTGCTCGCCTATTCGTGCTACAACCCAGTGTATGGAACTACCAATCATCCCGATCATAAAGATCGGACGCCTGGCGGATCGTCGGGTGGCGAATCAGCGTTGATAGGTGCCGGCGGAAGTCTACTGGGCATTGGCGGGGATGTCGGGGGAAGCATCAGGTTCCCGTGCCACTTCTGCGGAATCGCTGGCATCAAGGTATTCTAGAAACGAGTAAGAAAATGCGGGTTCCAGCCGTCCCACATGCGTCTATCTCATCGGGGCGTACTTGGGTCAGTACCCGGCCGGCCGTTGATAAATGCCAGCGATGGACCAATGGCTCGCGACGTTCACACTTGCGTCGAGTTTTTGAAAACGGTTTTTGGCACAGCTAGCTCTACAAAAATTGTCTAGGTTTGGTCGGATGACTTCATACATCAACGAGATCCCTACACGGTGCCGGTGCCATGGAACGAGCGACATTTCCAAAAAGGGACTCGCTACCGGATTGGTCTGTCACTTCTAATCGAACTGGTAATTTACGGTTGACTACAGGGTATTACACCGACGATGGTTGGTTTACGCCAACGCCGGCCCTGCAACGCGCCGTACGGGAGACAAAGGAAATGCTGGAGGCGATGGGTAATATGCCTGGTTATTTTCATAGCAAAGAAAATTTTTTAGGTCATCAGCTAGTCCCCTTCCAACCACCCCGAATCGAGGATGCCGTGTCGATGTTCATCGGAGCAGTATGCGTAGACGGTGGCAGATATCTCATCGACAAGATCAGCAATGTGGGTGTCGATTCTGGAGAAAGCGGTTCTGAAATGTTACCTAATCCTTGCGTTCCAGGATTTGATGGATCCGCGCTACGGGCCGATGTTGGGGTTGTACAAGCTGCCGTTCTGGGTTCAGTCACTGATCGCGCTCCTCGTCAAGCCCATCTACCCCCGCATGGCCCATTCACTAACTGCCATGCCGAGGACGACTTCCGGTGAGCCAGTATCAAAAAAATGCATATAACAAGGGAACCACGTGCGGTTACGATGGTGTTTCGGTATGGGACCTAGCCTATTTTGTGCAGAATTTGTTGCTGATTCCGAATTCAGCTCCTATCTTTGCCAAATAGCTCGTTCAAGAAAGTTATAGCGTTTCAAAGTACCATTTTTTCCAAATTTGCGATCCTAAAGGCTATTTTTACCTTTCCGGGGAGGTTTTGCGAAATGAATATCCCTATCGTATTCATAAAAATTTTCTCTATCGAATGATCTATTTATCTCAAAAATGAAGATTGGTCGACTCCGAGTTTTGTATGGTAAATGGTGAAAAACAGCCTGTTTCTTTTTTCTATTTTCTATTTCTGAGACCCATAAGTGTCCGTCGATGGGCAGTAGCGCAGTAACCAAATATACGATTCGAATTAGAAAAGGTTCTCGATAAGGTAGGCTATTAAGAATCGACGGCACATCTTTTTTTAAAACGGGCTATTTGGCAAACATTCAAAGTAGACACGGGATCAGTGAAAAATTCTACACAAGAGGCTGGGTCCCACCCCGAACAGCCACCTTAACCTTGCGTATTTCACCTATAAGCCCCCCTTGGCAACAATATGATTTCTAGAGCTGCGCAAAAAATACGAGGCGATTGAACACTACCGTTTCGAGTACATCGATGCCATGCAGAAACAGGGCATCGATGCTGTGCTCAGCCCCGTGACTGTAGGCCGATATCCGCTCAAAATAGATGATACAGATATAGGTCACCCCGGCACCGCATCACGAAGTCCCGGTTAAATTGTTTTCCGTCATCTCCTACACCGGCATCTATAATCTACTCGATTTTGCCGCTGGGACTGTTCCTGTTACGCACGTCACACAGGTGGTGGATATGAACAAGCGGTACAAGGATGGTTGGGGGGGGGCCACTTTTTTTGTCGGTTTCAGAGCAGTTTTTTGTGCTGAGTTCGAATTTCACAAAATCAGGTTCGAATAACGCCGTTTTCCACCGTAAAACGGCGGTAGCAGTCGCGATATCCACTTTCCTAAAATGCAACCTGTAGCGGTATAAAAGGGCCAGGGTTGCACAAAATTTATCATCTTCGCTATTACAACAATGGCGAACGCACTATCCGCGCTCCAAGAGATGACATTCATGGAGTTGAGCGCCAAACTGCACCAAACAGATGATGACGTGGAGCTCTGGATGCAAGACATGGGTCTCCTCCACAAAAAACGAACATGCCCGACTTGCAAGGCCGACGACATGAAACGTTATACCGCTGGTCATGCCGACGGTACCAAGCAATGGGAGTGTAATAAGCGTCGATGCCGTCAACCAGGCAAAAAGCACAAGCTCGGATTCTACAAGGGTACCTTTTTCGAAAAAACTCATTTGAGCCCCCGACAGACGATGCTTTTTACATATTTGTATCTTCGCATGCAGCTGACCCAGAAGGAGGCCGCGTTTCAGTGTGGGACCAGTCTAGATAGCTGCAAACAATGGGGACAATGGGCGCGAGATGTTTTCGATTCTCATTTTCGCAAAAACCCTAGAATGATCGGAGGGCCTGGTGTTCATATCGAGATTGATGAAACAGCCATCTCCAAAAGAAAGTACAATGTCGGCCGGATTCCGAGTCAGCGGAGAATGTGGATGTTTGGCGGAGTAGAACGCGGCTCCCAAATAGGATTCATCGAATTAGTTCGACACAGGGACGCCGCAACACTGCTACCGATCATCCAGAAATATGTGCGACCCGGCTCGATCATCCATTCCGACTGCTGGCGCGCTTACAATGGAATCACGCTAATGCCGCAGGGTTTCCAACATTTGACTGTCAACCATCGTCTCAATTTCGTTAACCCACAAAATGGAAGCCATACCCAAAATATTGAGTCAATGTGGAATAGGTTCAAAATGATGATGATCAAAGTCAAACGTGGAATTAGCACGCGCTCAAACGACCGCTACAGCGACTATCTGAAAGAATTTCTATGGCGCCAGCAATTTTCCAACGACCCATTCTACCATTTCTGGGAACAAGTCCACGATCTCTACCCTTGCGAATGATAAGCTAGCGCGACCACACTTGTTACTAGTCTATTATCTTGTTATATCCTTGTTGTTGCGATAAACCCTTGTTAAACAGGTTAAGGCATTTTACGGTGGAAAACGGCGTTATTCGAACCTGATTTTGTGAAATTCGAACTCAGCACAAAAAACTGCTCTGAAACCGACAAAAAAAAGTGGCCCCCCCCAACCATCCTAGTACCGAACAAGCTATAGACCCCATAAATTGAAGAAAGACGATGACGATCTTGATAAATATCCGACTTCAGACCCTTGGTATCGACTCGCAAAGAGTACGACAAAGGTTGGTTCGACGTGCATGTTGGATAATACCATTATAATCGCAGAAATCCAGAAGCGAAAATACCTAGTTCCCTTTAGGGAGCCCTTGGGCTGTCAGTCGGAGTCCAGGTAGCCGCACCACCGTTCCGCGAAGAAGTGGTGCTGCGCATCATGCAGGACATTGAAAACCATCATAAACAGACCGATTATTAGTATTATTTGCGAGGGTGCAATTCCGCTGTGATAGCAATGATCTGTAATCTAATAAATCTTTATTTGACCAACAACAAAATAACAACAATCGAAACAGAACAAGTAGTCAACGTAAAAATGGCAGACTTACTGAAAAGCCTCCACAACAGCCTCAAAATGCCTCAGGTCAACGATTCGGAGCAGATCGTTTAGCTCTCCACCCACCGAAACGACGGAGGCCGAATCCGGGCAGAACGAGATAGAGTGTAGTGGCCCCAGAGACGAATCTTCCTTGTTCACCATTGTCGGCTGTCCATCGCCCATTTTCCAAACGATCAGCTGCTAAAATAATTATATGTATATGCAGATTCAGAGCAACTCCTGCAAATAAAACGCAAACTAAAAATTACCCGATCCTCTCCAACACTTGCAAGAAGTCCCCTTGTGAGGGGTGAAAGGGCGATTCCATTACAAGCTCCTTGATGCGCATCCACGCTCCACACCGGCGTAGATGTATTCCGGGTGTCCAGGTATCGTATTTTGCCTGCAATAAAAATTGCACTGAAAACAATTGACGAAAAATACCGTCTTCGGTCGCAGCGACAATAGCGAAAGGATTGAAGTGGTCCCAGATAGCCTTTTCGATCTAAACAAAAAAACATTAGATTTTTGGAAAGCCATGGTATGTACCTGTGCACCGAGCTGCCATTCGGCCGGACGAGCTACCTCGACGCTTCGACAATCGCAGACGTACACGTGCCCACCCAACGTTCCAGCAGCAAAGATTGTGGGCTCAGCCGGATGCCAACGAACCGCTTGTACCTAAGGAAAAGTAAAAACCTGATAATAACCATACATACTTCACGGTCAAAATCGGGGACAATTTGCGCGGCCTTTGCTTGGTCCAAATCCCAAAGTACGACCGTCTTGTCGGCTCCTGAAAGTAAGGATGGAGGGTTATTTCTAGGTTTTTCCCCTGAGGCGAAGAGCAGCGCGCGCTAAAGCAAAAGAAACGAACCAGCGGAGGCAAGCACGTGTGGTGTCAAACGGTTCCAACTCAGGTCCAAAACAGCGTCACTATGCCCTTGCGCAGTGCCGTCCCGCTTCTTGCGTCCAATTTCTATACAATGATATCTTTAACGTTTATAACAGCCTACTTTTGAACTTGCCAAGCGTCACCACCGGATCCATTGCATTGACGATATCCAGGTCCCAAATGCTAATCGACGACTCCATCGTACCAACAGCCATCAAGTTTCCCTAGAAATCGCGAATGTTTGGAAGAGAAAGCAGAAAAACCTTTGATGTTGGCGAATCGTCATTTCCAGGGTCATAATTAAGAGTTTCCAAGCAGAGCGGAGGTGCCGTTAGGATGTAGTCATGGTGCACATACCTAAACAAGCTTGATAACCTCCAAAACATATCTTACCAATCATCGTTTGTTTCATTGTAGACATAGACTTCCAGTGAGTAGGCATCCTGGAAAATGTTTTCAAAAAACCGAAATAAGCTCCGACCCCATCAATTTTAGCCACGGCCACCAGATTATCGTCGGGCTTTAGCTCGAAATCCTCCTTTTCTTCTTCTTCTTCGGGGTCCTCATGCGTCGTGATATAGGGATCGTCCATATTGCTCGCGAATACTGCCACACCTTTCATGCCACTACTAAAAAGCGATTTTTAGCAATACATCTCGATCACATAGAAACATTAGAACCATCTGATATTAAATATCAGATGACAAAGAAATAAATACGTACTCTCGCTTTTCTTCCTCTGGTTTATCGTAATCTTCAAGCAGCCGTTCCGTATCCATGTCTTGATCACCATCATCGGGCACCTCAACGGGCGCTGATCCACGAATTCCCTGGGGGTTTTCAGCGGCCTTCGGCTCTTTTGCGCTTTCTTGCGTGTCGTCATCCGAATCTTCGCCCATGTCTGTCGATTCCGGAACCTCGGCTAAAACAGATCCATACGAATCTCCGAAAATGCTAATCACAAGCTAAAAAACGTAAGGAAACCGACCATCGTCTTCCAGCATCTTTTTCAGGGTCTGCGGATCTAGTTTGATGTTGTCGGGTTGCTGCTTTGCGATCCCACGTCGCACCCAGCTGGTGCCGGCAATCATGATGACCATGGTTACCTGAAAAAATATGAAATGTGCAAGTAAATAATAATAAAGATAAGAACAGCGAGTAAAGAACGAGCACAAATGAAATGAAAAATGAAATATAGGAGATTTTAGGTATTTTCAACTTTTTAGAAAGCTTAGGAAAGCAGACTCCTAAATAAATCTACATTGGGCAAAACGGCTTTAAAAAGGTATAGTTGGTATGTAAAATCTTTTCGTTTGGAAGAAATGCCGGGCCGGCCCGCTCAGCCTGGAAAATTCTCTGAATGGCGGAAAGCGTATGCCGTAGTAGCTGTCGTAAAAGCTCTAAGCCAACGCCATTCCTAAGTTAAACTTGAGAATTGGTTCTTAAACCCATTTAGAAATGTAAATTCCTCCAAATTCATCATGAAAACTTCGAATTTTTACGGAAGGATCACGCGGTGAAATTCGCGGCGCTTTCGATTGACGGCTAAAACGTGCCCACAGCGGTTTGCAGCCCTTTGCGGGGGTATTACGGTGGCGCCCTCTCGATCCTCCAAAGAGGCCCCAAGCAATAGAACAACCAATGCACATCAGTTATTCAAAACTCGTCTCCAAACCTCTCGCACCATGTCCTACTTTGGCATTGTTAACTAGAACAGACTTACAAGGCAATTCCCAACCACATTCGCTTTCATAAAATCTAACATCTCGTGGAAATGGCTGGCCGGCAGTTGCGGCCGCAAATTTGAGGCCAGACACTAGGCTCCAAAACTCTATTAGGCCCGTTTCCATATCTTCTCATCGTCCTTCCTCGCCTTATTAGGACTTGTGTATACAGCTTCAACCAGCTCTCACAGTGACTAGATTTCCAGCCAGCAGAATGTCGAAGGCCACCAAATTCTCCAAGGAAGAGGAGCTCCTGCTCAACTCATTCTCCGCTGATGTCTCTGCCCAAGGATCTGCTCTTTTCCTCGTCAACTCGCTTGTGACGTCCCTCGCCCCCGTGTATCTCTTCTACGGGGTCCACCATCTTGAGGTTGGTCGGCCAAAAATTCGTATTATTACGCGCGGCCAAATACCCGTAATGTCCCGTCTTTTCATGAACTTATCGAATAATGAAAAAGAACGAATAAACCTGAACGGTTTTCAGATTTCTGATGGTCTGTTCGTCTGGGCTATTGCTGTGGCTGGGGCCACTTACTTGCTGACGTGGGCGGCCAAGAACCAGAAGCACCAACTGAAGCACAAGTGGGTTCCCGATCTTGAAAAATATAACGGAAACGTTTATGGTATCATTGACTAGCGAGGAGAAAATTATTTCACTGGAAGCAAATATTGTAGGTTGGTGCTGAAGAGGTCTCAAGCCGTTGAGAGGGAGATCAACAAGAAGTATGCTGACGACAAGAAAATCAGCCGTAAGGAGAAGGAGGTCAGTTTTTAACATATCAGATTTATCTGATGATTGTGTGTGCTGAAGTTAACGGGTCTTTTCCAGGAGCACGTGCTCTACCGACGCAATGAGGTCGCCGACAGCGAGGCCACCTGGCTGGCCATCTTTTTCAACAATGTGCTGTTCTTCTCGCTCCTCCTGATCTTGGCCTTCTTCCTGTTCGCCAACCTGAACCCGCTCATCAACTCGTTCGTCTCCATCGTTGGTGCCGCCGGCATTGTCGCCTTCATCTCGACGTCGAAGAACTGAGCGAACCCTGTTGCATTTGTCGATTGTTTTTTTATTTATTTGCTAGCTTTGTGCGATGTACGACGGGAAGTGTTTCGAATGTAAATGATAAAAATGATTACGGAGTGTATTTTGTTGCATTACACAGTAAGTAGATACTGAACGTTTGACTTGTTTAGGAAAATTAATTGGCAGATTTATCGTCACGATAACAGCAATTTATGGCGGTGGGCATTGCCCTCCACAGCATTGTTGGCTCAGAGCATCCAGCGTTGGAGGGCATCCAAGCAGACCTCCGAAATCTGTGTAGATCGCACCCGAGCTTTCCCGTAGGGCTAATAAATCAATACATTATAATTTTTAGAATTCAGAGTGCTGGAGTATTCCGGAGACACACTTTGTTCGGCGCAAGCCTGGATTTTGTTATATAAATATAGAATATATAGAAATATATAGAATGCGCGTCTGTATTGCGTTTACGTTTTCCGAACTTAAAAACTTTATAAATTTCAACAAAAAAAAATAAAAATGATTTTTGGATTTCGCAAAATTGGTTTTTTCGACCCAAAATGACCAAAATTACGACTTCAAACATGTTTCAGACTCTTGAAAGTTTTTGCTTCTAATATAGTTAAAACTTTCTAAAAACAGTATAAAAACGCTCTATTTTTTAATTACTAGGCAATCTATACCCACAAGTAAGGCTCGCGATGGGTTTATCTCTCCATCACTCTCCCTGTCTCTCTATCTCTCTCTCTAACTCTATCTCATCTATCTCTCTTTCACGCTCTCATCTATCTCTCTCTCTCTCTCATTCTCTCTCTCTCTCTCTCTCTCTCTCTCTCTCTCTCTCTCTCTCTCTTCTCTCTCTCTCTCTCTCTCTCTCTCTCTCTCTTTCTCTTTCTCTCTCTCTCTCTCTTCTTTCTAAAACCCAAAAATCACCTTGGAACAATATCGTAACGAGCTGGTAAACATCGTCGGTTCCAGGCTAAAGAATCTATGAACAAACTGCCATCAAAAAGTCAACCAAGAACGAGATGGCCTCCAACACCTGGATCACAGTCGCTTCCAACCACCCTCCAAAAAACTAAAAAAAGCGTTAATTGTTTATCTTTACTTACTCTACGGCTTGAATAGCTATCCTATCCCCTCAAAAAACCTACGTTTTGCGTGACAAATTTGAGCAAGTCTCCAAAGAGGAAGCACTCGAGGCAAGTAAATGTGTTCGGCGTGCCGGCGTCCAGTTGGAGCGAGCCATTTCTTGCTCCTAAAATAGATGAAATATTTAAAATGCTCTGCAATAGCATACCTCCACATGTCGCGCGAATTTCCTCGACAAAGGTAAGCAACAATTTGTGGAAAATTTTGGAGTTTTGAAGCGAGGACACCTCAACGAAAGCTATTTTTTATGACTACCAGTAGAGGTTATTGAATCCGGATTTGAAAATTCGATGTAGGACCAAGTGTATCCTGTCTAAAATTTTTTCGGATTTCGAATCTGTTTTCAGAAATAGCAGAGGTGCCTTATTTTAAAAGTTACGTCAAATTCTAGGGCGTTTTTCGGCAGAAATTTGCAGGCTTGGAAAAACGTCGTATGCACATTCTGCTCCGGATAAATGGCGCTTTGAGGTGCGGTAATTGTTACATTATTTGGTATTTTATGTTTTCAAGAAACCTTTTTTGTTCAGGAAAGTTGCCAGCAATAGCAGCCATTTGCTCAACCTTGAAGTGTTTTCCTCAATTTTCACAAACTTTTGATGAGTTATATCATCGGAAAGCGAGCCCCAGCTAATAAATCTCCACCCCGGATAAAATGACTTGACGGTAACACTTGTAGTCTCTTTAGGCGTGTTGTAAGTTTGTAGGGTTAAACCTGTAGGTTCGTTGCCGGCGCGCACAAGCTCATATAGTGACAGCTCGCATCGCAGCTCTCCTCTGCCAAACCTTTAATGGGCGTCCGGTCACTACCCCGAAAAGTCACTACCCCGAAAAATGATAGCATTGTTTTTCCCGGAAAAATCCAGTTTTCATGCGGTTTTCCTATGAAAATCATGCAAATTATTTCGGGGTAGTGACTTTTCGGGGTAGTGACTTTTCGGGGTAATGACTATTCGGGGTAGTGACTTTTCGGGGTAGTGACTTTTCGGGGTAGTGACTTTCGAGGTAGTGACTTTCGGGGTAGTGACTTTTCGGGGTAGTGACTTTACCCCCCTTTAATGGTTGATGTTTTTGCATCGGATACCTCTTGTCAAAACGCGCTGCCAGCCAGCCGCGAGTCTTTGCACATCGAGGAGGGGAACCGGTTGGTCAAGACGCGGGAAGGCTAGCTGAATTCAAGTGTTATAAATAAAATGACGCTCTAATAATGTGCGTCCCCGCCCTCCCGCCGTAAAAGCTATATAAACCAAAAGAAGATGCGTAGGATTTCCTGCATCAATTTCAGAAAACAGACCGCCGTTGCAAATATCGCCAACGCAATAAACGATTGTAGCAGCATTTTTGCGAATCAATACGGTTCGAAGAGGGGCCCCCCGAAATGTGAGGGCGCTTATCAATTATTCGTGGTACTCGCGCTCGCCCGTTGCTCGCTTTTACCGCCTGTGTTTTTATGGAATTGACCCAGGTTGGGGCCAAAACGAACTTCCGCAAGGATTTTGTGTTGATTCCAAGTATGTTTTCCAAGTTTTCATAACAGCCATTGACGGAAAATACGGTCGCTTGTATATTCTTACGGGGAGTCTTAGTGTGCAAGTGTTGACAGGAAAAATCCTTGTTAAACACCTATCTAACTCGTGGTTTTCAAAAAGCTTGGCAACCCTTAACGTTTTGACGATGCGGATGGCACGAATTTGAAAAAGTTGTGACGCCTTTTAGGGCCCAAAAGGAAAAAAGGCAAAAATTTGCTGAAATTGGGTCTTCTGGGCCTTTTTCGCACTTAAAACCTTCATAACGTTTTGAATATTATCGTTTTACAATTAGCAGTATTGCAGATTTTGAAAACCGGTTCACAATTAGCGCAAAATTCTGAACAAGCTAGGCTCGGTTCCACTTGGAAACCCCCTACAACACTCAGCGTCTTACCCCCATTCTATGCTTTTCTTGGCCCCCAACCCAGCGGGTGTCTGCTTTGAGCCT